TTTATATGTCTTGTTATTTTACACTGTACATGCAATTGTTCGCGTGTATATTGGTGTCCTTCCGTAGCCCCGCTCCAAACATATTTTCCCGTATATATGTCGTGGATTCATGTTCTCGAACATGACATTCATCAAAAGCACGATGGGTGTCTTGCTAGACGCACGAGTTGCTCATCTTTTCGGAAAACTTAGTTCGATCTATTCATATAAAAAAGGGTTTCCAATCATATGTTCACCATAGAGAAGGATTTATTGTAAAAAAGGTGGGTTCCAACCCACCGGACCCTCCCCCCTTTTGGATCCGAGCCTGCGCCTTTATACCTCGTACAACTCCTTATAAATGCCAGGATGTATTATACATGCGCGGGGTTGTTTGGACGTAATGAAGATTGCGCTACAATCATTTTTTTAATGGTTTTACACTAAAAAATTTTGGGGCCCTTTATAGCTTGTGTTCGGTGTGAGCCAAGGCTCCGTGTTGAAGACCGTACTTTGACCTATTTTGGTTTATTTTTATAAATTTTGACTTGGATGGAGAGTTGTCTCATTGGCACTCATACCACATCTTCTTATATCTATGATACCCCCGTGATACGAAAGGTGTTAACTGTATTTCTATTGAAAAGGAAGGTGAATCAAGAGCCAAAACCAAACCGGGAACTAGAACAACACAGAATAACAATGGACAAACAAACGCCTAAATCTAAAGACAAATGAAATACCCGAACCCGTAAAACGAAAAGGCGAAGGTAACGAGGATAAGGACTCAGTAGTTGCAATAAGTATGTCAACTCCAAACTTAAGGCACTGGGACAACTATACCGCATGGAAAGAATATTCGGAATCTAAACGGACAAAAACAATATTACCGATCGCGAGAACGGAGTTGGTCTTTTGGAGAAAATTTACCCATACACTTATGTCAGATGCATTGTCGGAAAAATGAGCTGTCGGAATGAGCTTTCGGTGTAATGGGCTGTCGGAATAATGGGCTGCCGGTGTAATGGGCAATCGGAATAATGGTTGTCGGACTAACAGGATGTCACCCTTTTACTATACGGACACGGATAGTATAATTCCTACTGCTATTATTAACGTTGGCATCAACATTTGCATATTTGACAGTTTTCAAACATGAAAGCATATTGCACACTGCTAGTAAACATACAAATATCGATGCCAACGTTAATTGGTAAAACCAAATAGACAGGAATACCAAAAATAAATTCAAATTAAAAATATATATCCCCAAACGGAGTCTATAGGTCATAGGTCATGATTTTTTTCTCTGAGTTTGTATACTAGCTCTGAACCATGATCGGTAAACTACTTCTGCTTCTTGTATGCCTCGCCAAAGATAATGAGATCATTATGTTATTTACACAAGGGTAACTTGGAAACAAATATGGTTTCTCTATGTCTTCTTCTGACCTACACTAAAACTCTTCCCAGTGGGGAGTCCGTTTGGCTGTGCGGGCTGTTGAAGTACGCAGCCATGTCCGGTCAAAATGAGGACCTTGAATTTTACATAAGAACTCTGCCAATGAAAATAGGAATAAAACATAGTCTTAGATCCATCAGAAATGGGACGAACTGAGATACTGACAACAACATTTTTCATTAGCACATTGATTAAGTTGAGATAAATTGATGTTTTCTGAACTTATCTAGCTGTTTGTTTTTATACTTCTGTTGCTAAAACAATTGTAAACATAATTTGTATTACACAATATTAGAGGATCTGGTTGGGATTTACATATCATAGAGAACGGTGGGCCTAAGAATAAAGAATAAACAAAAACTGTTAGAGATTAATGAGATACTTAAATATAAAAAAGCAACAAACAGAAGTACAAAGAATAGAGAGAAAAAATACCTAAAATTACAGAACTAGAAATGAAGAGCTCTAATCATCTAGATCCTCATTTCAATAGTTTGAACGTGTACTCCGTTATCTGTTATGTGATTGAAAAGTGTACAGTTTAATCTTAAAGATGACACACTTGTCTAGAATTTATCTTGAAATAAAACGCTTGATTGAGACAAAATATCAATTCTTTTACTTAGAATTTTGGTTTTTCATTTTAGAAATAAATGTTTATATAAAATTTGTAATTGTCATATTAATTCGAAGACAAAGGAAATATGAGGAAAAAACAAGGATTTCATTTTTTTTGTTTTAATAAAAGGACAATCCGACAGTAACCCAACTACAATAAAACTAAAAAGCCCTGTAGAAGTCACCATTCGGTCTTCAATGAACGACAGGTGTCTAGACTCCAGTAGTAGTCCATATAAGGAGGATCGTAGAATATCCATACTTTTTGATAGACTTTATCAATGGCTACACACGTTTACTTTTGTCCTTCATATGCACTATGGGTGTATATGAAAGGCATGAGGATAGATAATTGGCATTCACTTTACAATAGTATTTGAGTTAGATCTATCGACGTGAGTTTTATAATGCATTTTATATTTATATCTCACATTGTAAGGGTCCATATAAGCATATATATGCTATCGCATTTAAATATACCACCTTTTTTATTATATGAATTTATATTTTTGCACTTTTCGAACAATATATACATATATATCCAGTATTGTCATAGGACTTGTAATGTATAACGATTGTAATTTAAAATAGACTTTACACTGCACTTCAATGTGATTTATAGAATTGTATTTTGTATTTGTGAAAACACGACAATTCAGTGTAATATGAAGATTTATTGTATTTATAAAACTTTGTGTAAATACTACGTTATAAGTAAATATTAACTGTATGAAGAACATCAATATATTTCTTTAATTGTGGTTAAGTTTCTTTTCAGTTATTATATTTGCTGGTGAATTGTGTAAAAGGTATATTTATTGAACACTCTATAGACTTTATGTATACATTAGAAGAATGAAAAAAGTGGAAATTCTCAATTGATCTGTTCCGTTAGTTACAATAGGAATATGTATATTGGACTTGTACATTTTCATTGATTCTTAATTTTATGCAAGTGTGTATGGGTGTGTGTGTGTGTGAGAGAGAGAGAGAGAGAGAGAGAGAGAGAGAGAGAGAGAGAGAGAGAGAGAGAGAGAGAGCGCAACTGGGGCGTGTTTTATTGGTCTCTTCCGTACATCTCCAGAATGTACAAAGAGTCCAAAAAATGAATCTGGACCTCTTCTAAAGATATTCTGTAGAAGAAGCAATAAAACACAAATTCAATTTAACGTCGAACAATGTTGGATGACAATCAACTCGTGTTAAATAAGGGTTAAAAACATTTGATAGTCTTTTTTTTTTTGGGGGGGGGGGGGGGGGGTTGAGAATTTTGAATATAATTTGGTGGCCTGGTAAGAGCTGAAAAAAATAGGCATGCTTAGCGACCGATTAACGAATAATAAATCGCAAAAAATCCTCCTGCTCCCTCCCCAGAATTTCAAATAGTCGTTCCCTTACTGTTATTGTCCGTGTAGTTCTTATTTATTTGTGACATTTAGACTAAACGACGCCATGTTTGTTATGTGCCTCTTCCGTTTAAACTATACCTATTTAAAAGGAAGAGGAAGAAGAGAGACAGAAGATCTTCCCATGCAAAAAAAAAAAAAAAAAACAGAAATGGACCTCTTCTGGCTCAATACCGAAGAACAAAAAAACACGCCCCAGGTCTACCTAGATAGGTCTATTCATGTCAATTCTTAAGAATAGGATACGTTTCATGTTGATCAGGAAGCAAATATGTTATAGAACTACCACATCCTTATTTACATTAGTCTTATATCAATCTGTTTTCCTCTCGCAACTGACTGTGGGTTAGGATTCTTAACAGATGATACCTGCATTAAATAAACATCAGACAAGAAAAAACCCGCGCGAGCGCGGCTTGAAGACTACTTGAAATGTTTATGGTAATACACCTCGACTACACCTTTTTCGGATATTTTTTTTTTTTTGTACCCTTTGCGCATGCATAAAACAGATACAAAACCATTTTCGCCTGCTAACAAAACGTAGACGGTAATTAATTAAGCTACGCCAATTAAAGCAATTACTATATGTTATAAAGTACATTACATACCCCCCAATTAAAGCAATTACTATATGTTATAAAGTACATTACATACACTAACTATTTATCATTATATAATATTTCAGACGATCGTCGGCTCGGAGACAAACCGGCTAAAAAATTTAGGTCTACAAATTTAATAGTATAGAAATGAAAAACAATAGATATGTGTAATACTTGTATATGTCAATAAGACAGCAACCCAACATAAATAACTTATAGTCATATGGATATCAACATACAGTCTTCATCAATATAGACCCAGGAGATGTTTGTAATTAAATTATTATTTTTAATGGGTAACAATGTTGTTCATGTCTAAATATTTACGTCAAGACCCCTGTTGAAAATACTTATATGCAACAAGTTTGAAGACATAAGGCAACACTTATAAATACAAGACAAAATTTGAAGAAAAGATTTTTGAGATCTGATGGACTAAGGTGTGAATAATCGGCATGCTAGACGAATACCATTTGATAGATTATAATACTTTTTATTAATTTTTGAATTCGTTGAGGGGGACGTAAGCCCTTAAGGCTCGTCATTCCTCTTTTTATAGGTTTTATAATTTTTACGTTTTTACCATAAAGGTAAAACAAATCAATGGCAATTGGTCGAGATCATCATTTTAAATCGCCAACCCTTCTTTGAAAATAACATTTTGTAATTTCAATCAAGACAATTTATCAAGTCCTTTATTTTCCATTTATTTTAAAAGTCCTTTTGTACCAAACCAAGATCAACTTTCATAATAACAAAAAATGACAAAACTTTAACTATATAACAAATACTTTAATTACATTAAGACTGCAATGATCCTGAAACTCGTTTGGTCATAATTTAACCAAATCAATACGGGCACTTAAAAGTCAATCTCCCATGAACAAACATTTCACTGCTTGACTGGAGCTAGGACTTTAAATATTGAATACACGGAAAGTAAAAATTAGGTTTAAATATACACTGTTTATAATTCTTCCCTTTTGACACGCGTAATGCGATCGCTAGTAGCAACATGCTTAGCAAAACAATTTTGAACTGATTTAAAAAGTTAGTATTTAATATGAAATTGAACCGTATTAGTATAGCTTTCAACGGATTAGACCCGTGATTACGTCTGGTATATTTTAAATCTTAAGTTCATTTTAACGTCAGAGGAATTTGGAGATGGGAAAATTATCGTCGAACCTAAAATCGTGACACAATCTCAGTTATTGATTCAATTGATGTTCTGATAAAGTGTCATTAAAGGATTCATCAGAACAGGTGAAATAGGTGTAAAACAGGTTAGTCTCAAAAATTAATATCATTTTAAGGGTTTTGGGGAAGCTTTCTTATTACGGGGGAGTCGGTGGCAAAGAGGAAGCATTTAAAAAGTTGTGAACTTCACTATGTTTTTGTTCCCAAACTCGTTTACAAAATTATTGAACTATTCATGATAAAAAATGAAAATGAAAGAGGACACTGACTAAATGCCCCCCCCCCCCCCCCTAAAAACAAAAAAACAAACAAACACGCACACTATTTAGCCTACTCCTACACAGAACAGGTTAAAAAAATAGGTATTAAATAGGTAAGTTTTAAGATTTTTTTAACGGAATGGTGGAAATTTTCTTAAGCTTATTTCTTTCATATATGTATATACATTTTAGCCCGCCTCCGGGTGCGGGATTTTCTCGCTGTGTTGAAGACCATTTGGTGGCCTTGGGCTGTGTTCTGCTCTTTGGTCGGGTTGTTGTCTCTTTGACACATTCCCCATTTCCATTCTCAACTTTAGGATAACACAAACAAAAATAAATAAAATCGGACAGGACAACGGACCACCCCAACAACCAGCAACGAACCCCGAGAACATCGTTCCGCAAACAAATCCAAAAGCATATACAAAAGTAAGAAAATGCCAGGGGTGACAATAAAACATAATTTAAGTAAAAGACAGACAACACTATAAAAGATTAAAAATCAAACAGTTGTTCACACAACAATACACAGAAACTCATAACTGACAAATCATACATCCCCTATCTATTTCATCTGTGATGGAAAACGTTTATTTTGTTTTCTGTTTTCTAAATAAGTTTTGGCAGTTTGAAAAAGAATCTTCAAACAAAGAAATGACAAATCACCAAGTATTTGTCCTCTTGTCTGTGAGTTGACCTAACATTCTTATAACACCTTTAGAGATTGAAAGGGTAAATACTCACAGTGATATTTGTCCGTCATAATTCTCGGATGTCAACTGAAGTACCGCAGTGACTAACTTCTTGAAAATTTCAGAAAAATCTTCTACTAAATGAAATAATTTCAATTGCGGCATGATCTCACATTTACCCGATCAAACCCGATGATATGGGAAAATGGATTTTTTTTTATTAATTTTTATGACTGGGTGAGAGGGTGATTACCTTTACGATAATAAGTTACAGTAAGTCTTCAAAAATGTGTCCAGTGTGCACATGCACGTCACACATTTTTTTTTACAGTTGAATATAGAGTAATCTTACATGATTTTTCTATTAGTTGGTATTGGCTTTGAACTAGCTGTCAGTATAAATGCGAGTACTCTCAGATCTGTACTTTGTGTCTTTTATGTTGTTAGGGATGTACAAATACTCTCTCGCGTCCAGTCTGTATTTCTTTTTTAAGATCAACTATATTTGGTGTATGGAAATATTTTATGATGTACATGTCAGTCTGTCAGGTTTTATTTGACATTGACTTCATTTTCATGGTTCATTGCTTATGTTAAGTTTTTGTGTTTTGGTCTGTTTTTCTTAAACTTTAAGCAATAGGTCAACTATATTTGTTGTATGGAATGATTGTAAGGTGTATATGTCTGTCTGGCAGGTATCATCTGACCTTCACCTCATTTTCATGGTTGATTGGTCAATGTTCAGTTTTCTTGGTTAACTTTGGTTTTTAGATACTTTAAGCTATAGGTCAACTATATTTGATGCATGGAATGATTTTAAGGTGTACATGTATGTCTGGCAGGGTTCATCTGAACTTGACTTCATTTTCATGGTTCATTGGTCAGTATAGAATTTCCATGGTTTGGTCTGTTTCTTTTATACTATAAGCAATAGGTCATCTATATTCTGTGTATGGAATGATTGTATTAAAGGTGTACATGTATTTCCGGCTTTGTTTATCTGACCTTGACCTCATTTTCTTGGATCATAAATGTTAATGTGATACTTGTAGTAAAACTTTATATGTAGGACTATCAACATAAAATCAATGGTCAGTATAGTCGGCGAGACATTTTAACGTGTGCACTCTTGTTATAGCTTGTTCTTATATTGTGCTGTAACACCACTGTTCCAGGTTAGGGGAAGGTTGAGCGCTCACAAACATTTTAACCCCGCCACATTCGTTATATGCCTGTCCCAAGCCAGGAGTCGACTATACGTTATGGGGTTTTTCTCATTGTTGAAGGCCGTATGGATTGTCTATAATTGCTCACACCCACTTCATTTTGATAGTTGTCTCATTGGTTACCATACCACATCTCCTTATTTTATATAAACAATGAAATGGAAAGAGAACATGAAGAGACTATACATTATACATTATTGGCATTATTTATGTTTCCAGAATTGTTTGCGTTTTGTTATGATTGTTTAAAATTAGATCTGGTGAATGTTTACTTTACAAATGAATATTAAATACCTACCAACGCATGTGCAAAATATTGCACATAAAACTGATTTATTGTAGTTTTAAATACGTACATGTACACGTAGAGTATAGGAAAATGACATTTTAAATGCACAATTTCATTTCATTACCTATAGCCTACCCCCAGGTGTGTAATTTTTGTTATAAGATTTAAGTATTAATCTTTTCAACAACGACAAAAAAGATTTAACATATTTTAAATGCGGTCGTTTTCTCACCCTGTATAGATCGATCTTCACAAGGTCTCTGCACTGTTTGTAGTATTTCTGTCATGTGTCATATTTGTCATTACTAAATTAATGATCTACCAACGATGTTTCGTGTTTCATTTAAAAGTATGTGACCACCCTCGAACACCAATCTTTATTAGGTTTCTTTATCATTAATTTGTGTGCTGTCGTTTGCTTTTTTAACGTTATTTAGGACATGATGCAGACTCGCCATGCTCTGTCTAAATCCTTTCTTTGTATGCTACTTGTATAAACATTCTACAATTAATTGTAGCAATTCAGCAAGGAGTGTTGATTATCATGTGCGCGTTTTTATTTGCAATTTCCCATTTCTATATTGATTTCGAGAATAAATTATAGTAATAAAATCACAATAAACATTATATGACAAAATAAACGTCCAATGTTCTTATAGATTCGTATATGAACATTAAATTTCTGGATTATACACTATTTCATTGAAAAAACTTAGATCAAACATAGACGTCCATATCGTGTATTTACTGACGCATGCCGGAGGGTCTGGATGGAGATCCTCTATTTTTGTATTCTTTAAAAAAAAAGTCATTTTCCTTTCAATTGTTGCACATCATTCTCTATTCTGTATATTTTTGCACCTCATTATTCTTTTTCACCCTATTTTTCGCTATTCTTTATTGTTTTGAGTTGCTTTTTCTGTACATTTGGCCCTTTTTCTCTATTCTGTAATCCCACCCAGACCCTCATAAGGGTATAATCATAGAACTGCAGAAAACGAAAGGTGCACAACACGTGTAAATAATCTTCATTAACTTGAAGAAGCAACAGATAAAAATATTAAGATGCGAAATAAATAAGACTTTAAGATGCATAAAAACCAAACGGACATAAGAAGGTCAACCAAGAGCGTCTAAGTATGAATAAAAGGTGATGTAGCCTGGTTTACGTCAATGAGACAGCAATCCATCGACACTACAATTCAATAAAAAAACACGAACAAGGCAACATACAGTCTCAAACAACATTCGGGTTTTAACAATAGTCCTAGTTTTAAATCGTCCCGAGTCTACAATACTAGTGAAAAATAATCTAACAAAAAAATCTGCTACAACATATATTCTTTGTTTGAAAGAAGTGCAAACTTAGAATGCTACTCAACAAGATGGTTAGCTGATGTTTGTTACTTTAACTAGTTTTGACATCGCTTATTAGTTTGGGTATTGTCTTGAGAGAGCACTCTGCAATCCCTTGTCAACGTATATTTGTCCCGCCTAACAGAAGTTCCACTGGAAACTTTGTTATAAACAATGGCATAATATCTGTTCCTGTTGGAACATATATTCTATACCATTTATTCCGTTAGGAACATTTACTGTAATATTTATTCCAGTGGAAATAATATTCCAGAATATTGTTTCCATTTGGAACTTATATTATGAAGGAACTTCTATTCCGTGACACCTGCACACGAATACAAAGAAGATATAGGGAAAACTTTATTAAACAGCAGCCCAACACTGAACAGCAAATACATATCCATTTGTCTGGTCGTCATCAACAATAGACAAATGTCTGTATCAATGTTAAGCTCTTAAACCCCAGACAGCATGGGAACATGATTTAAAGGATTAGTGCCATTTTTGTTTTATATATGAGATATGTTTGATCCTTTACAAGTTGGCTCTTTGCAAAACTCAATTACTACATTTTGTTTATTTATAAAAAATGTTAATACTTTTGCTTGTCCTCCTGGCTAGTGACTTCTGTAACCTCTCTCCTTGTTTTGTATATATTGTAAATAGTTATTGTTGTTATCTCTGTACTGATGTAATGCATTGGCTTTATGAGAATAAAAGAGACAGAAAGAGATACTTTTACCCTCAAATATACAGTCTATACTTGTACGTACATGTAGACTAATTAAAAGTTTTTAATTGTTTGATAGTGAGATAGATCTATACAATGTCCTTCACTTTTTATTTGTTATAGATACATAACTAAACAATTTAGTCATTTCTACCTAATTCGATATTGATATCAGAGAATGTGGGGGTAATCAATGTCTTGTGAGATAAAAACTCAATTGATGTTTAAATATAGAACTTTTATGATACAATAAAAGGAGAACGATTTGAAATCAATGATTTCATCGAAACAATACTAATGGCATTATTGTATTACATACAAAAAAGTTCAATTTAGAAACAAACAATCGACAATTTATTCAAACGGTTTTTCAAATCATAAAATTTTTACTGACTTGAACTTAGAAAAAATTGAAACAAACTTCAATAGAGCGATCACACAATGGATACATGAAGATGTTGATAATGTTAGATCAAATGAGGCAGCAACCAAAGAAAAAAACAAAACAAAACAAAACAAAATTGACCCCTAAGGTTCAGAACACTTATAATATTTTCGAAAATTTTACGGACGCCATCACGAGTTGGTTGCCCGCAATGGAATATCTGTTTCACAGATGACGACAGATATGTTTCAATTGTAGTAACCACAATCCCGTCTTCCTTTTTCCCGAATGTGACCTACATAATTAGACTTATCACCAGGTTTGTACTTACATGAGCAACAAGACGGGTGCTGCATGTGGAACACGATCTGCTTACCCTTCTAGAGCATCTGAGATCACCACCGGTTTTTGTTGGGGTTCGTGTTGCTTCGTCTTTAGTTATCTATGCTGTGTTTTGTATACTATTATTTGTCTTTTGGTCTTTTGTTTTGCCATGGTGTTGTCAGTTTATTTCCTACTTATGAGTTTGAATGTCCCTTTGGTATCTTTCGCCTCTCTTATAACAACTGGAAATACAGATCCCGAGTACCCAATACTATATAATCTACCAATATAGCTTCCTGGGCATCCTTTTTTTTTACCGTCCAGTAGTTCGGTTTGGTATCTAGTATGTTTCACTGACAACGAGTTGAACTCCAAAATCAAATATTAATTTAATAAACGTCACATTACAGACATTATAGATATAAGAACATGTGGTACGATTGCTACTGAGACAACTATCCACCGACGGAAGTTCAAATGAAGTGGAAGCAATTATAGGCAACCGTACGGTCTTCAACAATGAGAAAAACCCATACCATATAGTCGTTTTACAAGATATAGAAGTTTACGGTGCATAATTAACTACGACAGTAAACCCATTGACCTTTAAACAATAAAGATATCACTAAAACACAGACACTATTATGTCAGTCATAGACAGGGGGATTATTGATCTATGTCCGTACCGGTACAGATCAACTCTTGTTTGCCTTTAATTAAAAGTTTTACCCTTTAATAGTTTAATAACGGGCCGCCGCCAGGCTTCAATGTTTAATTACAAAACTCACACCAAGACTTCTTACGGACAATCTTTTGATCAATATGTATGTATTACTTTTTAAATACTGGACTTACGCATTAAAAGTAATAATATATTAAACCTTACGATTTGATTTCATAATGATTTACATTTAAAGAATCTAAATAATGACCATATTCTGTACCGGACATATTGGAGCACTCCTACTTGGGATAAGAACATGGTGACAATCATGACGTCGCTAATTACAGTTATAAGGGAAACACAGGTTTGAAAAAGGAAATAAAACATGCTTCGTTACGTTATGGAAGTTACATTAATTGACATTTATAATAACGGCTTATTTACAGGACGTACCAACATATGTATATATCTACATCAAATATGGCATGTAGAGGGGAACTAGGTTCACTCCCTACACTTTTTTTTTATGTAATTATGAATATGATAAAATATTGGATTCATCTTATGAAAGAAATTGAACCTTCAAATATTATCCTATTGGAGGCCATAAATCTATCCCATTCTATGAATAAATCTAACCATGAATCTTGGATAGGAAACATTATAAACTATATTTGAATTCCTATATTTAGACTATTTATTTGTAAACCTGTCAAACTTGAAACAAAACCATATATAAAAAAAGTAAAATATTCTCTTACAAGAAAATTTAAAGAAATTTAGCTAGTTTAGAAAGCAATTCTGGGAAGAGTACCAATATACAGTCAGGCAATATTTTTATGTTTTAACCATATTTAACAATAAATTAAAAAATAAAAGACAACAAAATAATTACAAGATTTAGAACTAGCTGTCATGACCTTGAAATTGAAAGAGGGAGGTATATTTGTATAAAAGCTGAAGACATAAAGTGTAAGCTATGCAAGAACGCAGTTGAAGATGAACTACATTTTCTTTTAAAATGTCCTGTTATAAAAGATACAAGATCTCAACATCTGTCTTAATTAAATTCTAAATTCAAAAAAATTTCAAAGTTATCTGATGAAATGAAATTTGTTTGGATTGTTTCATCTTAAGATTTGTTTGTTACTTCAAAATTATCTTAATTATTGCAATCCTTTTTTGAAGAACGAAAGAAACTTCTAAAAAATGTCAATGTAGTTTGAACAAGAGGCTGTCAGACACATCAAACAAATGGGTAACAACTGTCATATTCGGATTTTTTAACATTTATTTGTGTCCTGGCATTTTTCAATATCACAAGGACCATAACTCCTGAACGGTCAAAGTGACAATCATCAATACTGAACTTGACCTCCATTTTGGCATCAGTAGCAGCATATTAAAATTGAAAAGCTTTGGTTGAACGGTTCATGGGTTTAAGCATGGACACGACTGTAAAGACCATTTTTCAATCTTTCAAGAACCATAACTCCTGAACCGTGAAAGTGAAAACCGTCAATATTGAACTTGACCTCCATTTTGTCATCAGTAACAACATATCAAAATTTGAAAAGCTTTAGTTGACCGTTTCATGAGTAAATGCACGGACACTGTTTGGCAGCCGCCCGGATGCCCGCCCGCCCGCCGTACATCCCAAAATCAATAACCGATTTTTCCTTCGAAAATCCGGTTAAAAATGGAAACATAAAAACGTCTATCAGGATCCGGGGTTGTCTCCCATAGGCCTAGGTCTATAAGTTGATTAAGAAACGTATTTTCTCCAGGTCACATGTACAGTGGCTTCCAGAAATTAATAACCGACTAATGTTTTGTCAGTGACATTGTTTGTAATTATGTTACTTTGTTTAAATGTGTATACATGTTTTTGTTTCAATGTACTGTAATCACTCTAATTATTCTTATCATTTACTGTGCTTTATTTTGTAATTCATTTGTTTGTATATAGCTCAAATTGTGGGCACCATGATTGGTTAATATCTTGTATCTTATATTTACAAGTATTACATTTCACAAAAGCTTGCTTGACCTTGGCATTAAATTTGACAAACCGTTGACCTAAGGAAAGTAATGTAAATGGCCATTGGGAATGTACCATTTTGTCTGATATACCTAATGTTGAAAAATGATATCGAGTCTATAGACTTTTTGTTCGATGATATTACACCCCATTATTATTTTCTATTTTCAGTTTATACAATGAGTGGAATGTACTACAAACGTGAGGTGATGCCGCCACCGCCAATCACTTATGGATACCGAAAAATTGCTTCTAGACAAGAGGAACATGACATCACAAACAGACTGATCAGATCAACTTACGAACGTAAAATATGGTCTGAAGAATCCAAGCAAGTGTCAAATTATCAGTATTTAATTGAAACCGGAAACAGACGGCGTCCTCCTTCGTCGTGTACAAGAACGCCGACGCCTTCAAATACTAAACGATACGACTCGAAACGCCTATCAGAACGGGATATGATTCGAATGCTCCGCAGACTACTTAAGCCGACGGAGAGTATGTATAATGCTCAGATCACTGCAAAGAAGGAGGAGGAACAAGAATTGAAAGAAGGACGAATTTGTCGATCAAAAACTCCGAGTGAAGCCGAAGAGAAGATACTCCGAAGAGTGCAACGTCCTACAACCGCATCTCGTGCGAAAAAGATAAACGACTGTCATCTTTGTTATGAGCATGAAAACAAAAAAGAAAATTCACCTCCCGATGCATTTGATTATGAATATGGTGAGGATGGTAAAAAACTTAAACAAGACGATGTGAATGAACTAGTGAGACGTGTACGCACGCCAACATATTCTTCGGTTGACAAACGGAGATGTGGTGATGAACGAAAATGTCCGAAAACGCCCGTGCAAATAGACGAAGTGAAAATACGAGCGCAGCTACCATTAGTAAGTGGACTTACTCGGACAAAGAATGTGGAGGATATTGTTAATAGATTATATCCTAAACCTAAATATAGAATTGTTCCATCAGCTACCCCATATACAACTTATACTTCGGAACCTATAGAATGATAACGAGACAGTTAGATACTAATCCAATAGAATGTCACCTCAAACGTGCTCATAGACATGGTGCAAATGATGTACTTTAAAAAATATATATTGCCTTTCTGAATAATAGAAGTTTTAATGTTGTTAAACACTAGACGCTAAATGCATTTAATTTTTTAAGACTTTAACATGTTTATGTTATTTCAGGCTTAAGGTTAACTCATAAAGTTCAGAGTCTGTTAAAAGTACCTATCTTAAGGATTAATCGTAGAATTCCGAATATTAGTTATCACTCAAATGTTTGGCTTTTTTTTAATTGTTTTTAAAAATCTAACCAACGCTTGCTTTGTGATCTTAAAGAATTGTGGTTAGTTATGTCATGTGGTTGCTGTCTCATTGAAGTAATCCACAATATCTATCTGTTTTCATATATAGAAGTTTTAACAACGATATTAAACATACATGTATGTTGTATTTAATTATAGAATACGTAGTTAGTATCAATGACACTTCGTATACCATGGAGATTAAAGAATGCAAATTAAACTAAATGGTACAAAGACATTAATATAATTTTGTGCGTCTAGATGTGGTTTACAGAATAGATAATAAAAGGCAAAGTATAAATATAGAAAAATCCCCACCTCTTAAAATAGTGATTGGTTGCTAAAATATAAAAAAATAGAGAATAATGGGCGACAAAAAAAAATGGAAGATTGGGAAATTGCATAGAAAAGTAAAGGTAACTAAAAGAAGACACTCATCCAGACCCTCTGTTTTAACAGTGTTCTTTTTATACTATTAAATTGTTGTCTTCTGATACAGTTGTGTCTGCACCTACTTTAGGATAATTAAAATAAAGGAATGAAAAGATTATTATTATTTTGTTAAGAATTTAGGCTAAAAAATAGAAAGCTATAATTCGTGTAGAAATACTTATCAATTATATAGCATTAACAGGGGGAATAACCCAAAAAAAGGTGAGCTTATCGGTCGAAGAAAGACATTTAAAACCTTGGACCAAAAAAAAAACGATAAAGCTGTCAAAAAAACAGCAAATTAAAGATTGAGGTAAACGAACCATTCCAAAAAATCAGGGATGTTTTTAGAGGCTCCTCCTAAAGAGTCAGCAACTCCTGATAGATTGGTGGCACACGTCGCGCGACGTTACAATCAGGAAAGGGGGCGAAAGATACCAATGGGGCATTCAAACACATAAGTAAAAAATAAACTGACAAAGCCATGGCTGAAAAAGAAAAAGACCAACAGGCAAACAGACAAACAACAGTACACAAAACACAACATAGAAAACTAAAGACTGAGCAACACGAACCCCACCAAAAACTCGGGATTATATCAGGTGCTCCGGAAGGGTAAGCAGATCCTGCTCCACATGTGACACCCATCGTGTTGCTCATGTTAGTACAAACCCGGTAATAGGTCTAATTCGAAAGTGATTGTCTGTATTAAAGCTTCATACCTTATTGGATCGGTTTATGAAACTTCAAGTTGAACATTGCTCTTAAACAACACGCACCTTCCAAATATACATATCTGCAGCATTGTCAGTATATTTTTTATATACATGCAATGCGATAGCCGGTTGAAAATGTGTTCCGATTACTAGTTTTATCGTTTACAATTTTACGTGCCATTTCAGAAACACTATAGTTATAATAACAGCAATGGCTATTTGATCTAGATTTCAATGAAAACACATTTCGTTTTCTAGCTGTTTTAACTTTTGTACTATTACTGTCTCCACCTCCATTCGGTACCGACCAAAAGCACTAGACTTTTCCCGCGTTTGTCAGTAGAACCCAGGTTGAGGTGGTGTCAGTATGGCCGTTCGGAATGTATAAAAACAAGTCAAAATTCGATAGGAATGGAAACACTTAATCAAATCCCACCAATCAATATGACTTTTTCTTTGTATTTCATACAATGCAAGTCAATCAATTCACACTGGAAAAGAAAGAAAGACATTATATTAAAGTCCGTGATCGTTCTGAATGTTCACGAAATATTTACCACTGGACGTTCAGCAAGCAACCACCAATCTATTTATGAGGCGATATTCTTCAGTTCAGCGGTTTCTCTATATAGATTTATCCTTTGTTTGTCTTTTCTTGCTGTACCCTTTTATACCACTGCTCAGTTTGACAAAGGACTGTTCAATAACCATGATAATACTCACAAAACAAACTTTACCCCCTCCACGTGTGAAAGTAAAAATACCAGACCCAGTTCAATAAACCTGCTTCATGCGAAAGTGAAAGTGCTAGACCCAGTTCAGAAACCATTGATACATGTTATGGTGAAATGCCTGAACCAGTAAGGTAACTCCCTTTACATGTGAAAGTGAGTGTCTGACCCAGTTATACAACCGCCGTCACAAGTCAAAGTCAAAGTGCGACTATAAAGTCCAGTAACCGCCGTCACAGGTAAAAGTTCCTGGCCCAGTTCAGTATACCCCGTCATGTGTTAAATTGAAAGTGCAGACTTAGTTTAGTAACCCCTTCCACCAGATGTTTAAATAAAAGTGCCTGATCGAGTTCAGTAAACCCTTTCCACTTGTGAAGATAACACACTGGGCGGGGGGGGGGGGGGGGGGGGGGGGGTCAAGTTTTTTTCTGTAAGTGGAAAAGGGGGGGTTCAAATGTTTTTATAAATTCAAAGTGGGGGGATCAATTTTATCTCTAATGAAACATTTTTGAACTTTTGAATCTTCTAGTATATCCTACATATCATGTGTGTCAAAGATGAATGTTTTGCATGTTAAAATTTTGGCATGTTTAATAGAGGGGGGTCACTTTTTTTATAAATATTTTCAAGAGGGATAAAGTGAAATATTATGGGGGATCAAGAAAATTTTATATGTTTGATTTCAAAATGACCAGCCCCATCCCCCTTCCCAGGTAAAAAATGACAAGTCCCTTTAGTAACCGGTGCCACATGTGAAAGTACTTGACCCAGTCCAGTAACCGACACCTTATGTGAAAGTTAAAATGCCCGACCCAGTCCAGTAACCGAATCCACATATGAATGTGCCTGAGCCAGTTCAGAAATCTCTTCAGTGTTTCCGGACATCTTTGTCTACCTATAACTTGTTAATAACTTGGACGTTATTTGGTAAAACTGATAGAGAGTTATCTTCTAATAAATTTAATTATTTCAAAGAAGATGTTTTGTTAAGTATTAATTGGATCTTGTCTGAATGACTACCATATCTTTTTCTATTGATGAAAAATCGTATGGCTAAATTATGGTATGCCCACCCGTACCAAATCGTTAACCTCATTTGGAGCAGAATCTGCTAACCCTTCCGGGGAAACTGGTATCATCCCTGATTTCGGTGGGATTCGTGTTGACCAGTCTTTATGTATCTATAAAGTGTGTTGTGGATTTATCCGTGTTGTTCAGTTTTTAATTGTCTATAAAGTGTGTTGTGGATTGATCCGTGTTGTTCAGTCTTTAGTTGGCTATAAAGTGTGTGGTGGATTTACCCGTGTTGTTCCATCTTTCGAAATCGCTGTCTATAAAGTGTGTTGTGGATTTACCCGTGTTGTTCAGTCTTTCGTTGTCTATAAAGTGTGTTGTGGATTTATCCGTGTTGTTCAGTTTTTAGTTGTCTATAAAGTGTGTTGTGGATTGATCCGTGTTATTCAGACTTTAGTTGTCTATAAAGTGTGTTGTGGATTTACCCGGTTGTTCAGTCTTTAGTTCTCTATAAAGTGTGTTGTGGATTTATCCGTGTTGTTCAGTCTTTAGGTGTCTATAAAGTGTTGTGTTGATTTACCCGGTTGTTTAGTCTTTAGTTGTTTATAAAGTGTTCCCGTGTTGTTCAGTCTTTATTTGTCTATAAAGTGTGTTGTTGATTTATCCGTGTTGTTCAGTCTTTAGTTGGCTATAAAGTGTGTTGTGGATTTACCCGTGTTGTTCAGTCTTTCGTTGTTTATAAAGTGTGTTGTGGATTTATCCGTGTTGTTCAGATTTTAGTTGTCTATAAAGTGTGTTGTGGATTGATCCGTGTTATTCAGACTTTAGTTGTCTATAAAGTGTGTTGTGGATTTACCCGGTTGTTCAGTCTTTAGTTCTCTATAAAGTGTGTTGTGGATTTATCCGTGTTGTTCAGTCTTTAGTTGTCTATAAAGTGTTGTGTTGATTTACCCGGTTGTTTAGTCTTTAGTTGTTTATAAAGTGTTCCCGTGTTGTTCAGTCTTTATTTGTCTTTAAAGTGTGTTGTGGATTTATCCGTGTTGTTCAGTCTTTAGTTGGCTATAAAGTGTGTTGTGGATTTATCCGTGTTGTTCAGTCTTTAGTTTTCTATAAAGTGTGTTGTGGATTTACCCGGTTGTCTAGTCATCAGTTGTCTATAAAGTGTGTTGTGGATTTATCCGTGTTGTTCAGTCTTTATTTGTCTATAAAGTGTGTTGTGGATTTATCCGTGTTGTTCAGTCTTTAGTTGTCTATAAAGTGTGTTGTGGATTTATCCGTGTTGTTCAGTCATTAGTTGTCTATAAAGTGTGTTGTGGATTTATCCGTGTTGTTCAGTCATTAGTTGTCTATAAAGTGTTGTGTGGATTTACCCGGTTGTTTAGTCTTTAGTTGTTTATAAAGTGTTCCCGTGTTGTTCAGTCTTTAGTTGTCTATAAAGTGTGTTGTGGATTTATCCGTGTTGTTCAGTCATTAGTTGTCTATAAAGTGTGTTGTGGATTTACCTCGTTGTTCAGTCTTTAGTTGTCTATAAAGTGTAATGTGGATTTGTCCGTGTTGTTCAGTCTATAGTTTTCTATAAAGTTTGTTGTGGATTTATCCGTGTTGTTCAGTCATTAGTTGTCTATAAAGTGTAATGTGGATTTGTCCGTGTTGTTCAGTCTATAGTTTTCTATAAAGTTTGTTGTGGATTTATCCGTGTTGTTCAGTCATTAGTTGTCTATAAAGTGTGTTGTGGATTTATCCGTGTTGTTCAGTCTTTAGTTGTCTATAAAGTGTGTTGTGGATTTATCCGTGTTGTTCAGTCTTTAGTTCTTTATAAAGTGTTTTGTGGATTTACCCGGTTGTTCAGTCTTTAGTTGGCTATAAAGTGTGTTGTGGATTTATCCGTGTTGTTCAGTCTTTAGTTGTCTATGCAGTGATTTGTGGATTTATCCGTGTTGTTCAGTCTTTAGTTGTCTATGCAGTGTTTTGTGGATTAATCCGTGTTGCCCAGTCTTTAGTTATCTATGCAGTGTTTTGTTGATTTATCTGTGTTGTTTAGTCTTCAGTTGTCTATGCAGTGTTTTGTTGATTTATCCGTGTTGTTCGGTATTCAGTTGTCTATGCAGTGTTTTGTTGATTTATCCGTGTTGTTCTGTCTTCAGTTGTCTAAGCAGTGTTTTGTGGATTTATCCATGTTGTTCAGTCTTTAGTTGTCTATGCAGTGTTTTGTGGATTTATCTGTGTTGTTCAGTATCTATTGTATATTTATTGTTATGTGGACTTATTCATGTTATTGGTCGTTTAGTTGTCTTAATATCGTTTTTGTCATTGCGTTGTCATTTGCTTTACGACTTATGAATTTGAATGCTACTTGGTATCTTAGGCTTCTTTTTTTTAACAAAAATTCTTAAAATGTTTAATTCTATGTTGTTACTTTTTTCTTGATACATATTTTTTTCGGATGCAGTGTTCAAAAGATACCGGGTTCCTCTTATGTTTTGAGATGACAAAAACATGTTGATTTGACTTTTCATTTAACTTAATAATTGTGAACTATGGACGACCTTCAAATTCGTGCATGTTCCCGTACATTTCCTATGGCATAATACTTATGTTCAATGAAGTCATTTACGCCGCTGATTGTAACTCCGGTCAATCAGTGTAACTCATTCA